TTGAACCTGAGGGGATTGTGTATGGTTTTACACTACCATGACAATGGTTCACCTTGTCACTGTGAACTAGTCTATGTTGGCATAACACTTCTCCAAGTTTGAAGTACTGCATGGAGGTGCCATACGATCTGGTTAACATTCATATAACTTCTATAAAAATGAAGTTTCTAACTGCAGATTGCGTTAGCCTGGAATTGCTGAAGTAAAATAACGCTTACTTTCGCTGTAATTGAAGGTTGGTTTGACATAAATACCAAAAGCCCAAGGCAAGTATCTTGATGTCAAACAACAAAAAATCCCAGCCCACAGTCAACACTATGTTTGATTGGTTTAATCCAAATTCCTTAAGACGGCGTCACTCCCACTAATCCTTTCAAAGAGTGGGCATTCAGCTTCCCTGAGCTGCCAAGGAGGAAAATAAAGTTAATTCTTTCTTTGACACAAATGGAAAAACCTATTGAAGACGAAGTGCTGAAGTCAAGCTAAAGAAACCATGGGTTTGGGTCAGCTACAAGCAGCTTCAGAAGTATGTAACCTCAGCAATGGATTAAAGGAGAGCACACTCATAGAATCAGAATGGTTTGGTTGGAAGGGATCTTAAAGCCTGCCCAGTTCCAACCCCCTGCCCTGGGCAGGGACACCCCCCACCAGCCCAGGTTGCTCACAGCCCCATCCAACCTGGCCTTGAACACTTCCAGGGATGGGGGAGGCACAACTTCTTCGGGCAACCTGTGCGTCACCACCATCCTCTGCCACTGCCTCGCCACCCTCACCGGGAAGAATTGCTTCCTCACATCTCATCTAAATCTTCCCTCTTCCAGTTCAAAGCCATTAAGACATTCTCCAGGGTAGATTTATGTTGCTAAGCCACCTTTAGTCAGCAGCCATACATATTCTACTAATAATTCTAATATTCAAGACCTCTTGCTGTGCAGGCAGGACACCATGATCGCCACAGAAAGGTGGTCTCCTCTATGATGATAAGCTTATATTTGGTATTAATGAGAGCATTTGTAAGCGCTCCCGTGAGGCGTCCAACCCCAAACAAAACGCCACTGACCCGCCTTTGAACACCCCCCGCCCCCCGGGGAAATTTCACCAGGATTAAATTAATTACAATTGCGGCTGATAAAGTGTGACTTTACAGGGGCATCAGCTGCCGCAATCGATTATCAACCGCCCCGAGGAACTGAGGGAGTGACTGCGGGAACGGCCGCCGCCCGCCCCGGAAGCGGA